TTCCTGATAAGTACAAATGATCTTCTTTCCAATGATGTAAAAATTTATCTAGGGCTTTCATTCACTGTTAGGAAAAAGTCTGCCAAAGTTTGAGGAAATCACGCAGTGACTTGTCAACAAACGAACGTAATCAAATTACGCTCTTCGTTATCAAAACCAAAATTTCACACAAATCTTAGCTTTTAGCTCTATTTTAGATCTAAAAGACAGTACAGTAACCTTCAATCATGGACAAAACTGTTGAGAAAATTGCATATTTGGGGGGCATTTTTTCTGAACTTCGTAGCTGACCGATTCTTCCCTCCCCCCCCTCTTCCCCTGGAAGCAGTGTTGTTGGGTCTTCAAAAGAAAGCCGGATCCCTATGCATTTGTAGGAAGCAACTTTGAATTGGGGGAGGGGGTATTCTTTACGCAAAGCCGTTGATTTGGAAATAGTTTTGTTGCGTTAGGTAGTGTGCATTAATGTAAACATTTTCTCAAGTAGTTTTGTCCAGGATTGTTACCTTGTAGAGGCAGCGGTGAAAGATTGTTTTTTCTCACTAGTTTCGTTTCAAATTGCCATCTCCACGTGAACAAACGGCACACATTCCTTGGGCTTCTGCAGTGAACACCGAATTACTCGACATTTTCAACCATATTTGAGCTTTTGCGCGTTAATACCCCACACGTTGACTAGATCCTTCTAAAAGGGACAATAATGAGATGATTCAGAGTTGAAGAGTATTGAATCTTGAACTCCAGAGTCACTGAATGTTCGCTAGGCGCTTGCAGCTCTTTTTGAGATTTATCACGCAATGAGACACAGGAGACCCAATAATGCTATCGTATGCACAAGCCCCAACCATCACTTTTGGAATAAGAATTCTTTTCCTTAATGCCCAATTTTGAAAATCTCGCAATAAAAATAAAAAACGAAGTTAATGCATCTGATATTTGTATAGGTAATAGCATGATTTGTAGTGATATTTGGCATAAATACTACGAATGACATTTCTCATGTGGTAGTCAGGAGCCGATTACTTTCATCGCATCTTGGGTGAATGGAACAACGTAGATCACAATTCGTTAATCTGGATTTGGACGCTCCGGAGGAGCGTTGCGTGACGAGTGACGACCCTAATAACGGCTGCGAAGGAGACTAGTCTTGCAGGGACGCAAAATCCGTTTTAAGATCAAAAATCTATTTTTGGATTGGCCGAAAGGAGCACACCCACATAAAGTTCGGCCCACAGCGAAGTCAAGGCAGTAGGATTAGTAAGTTTTCCTTTAGCGTTGGAAAAATCGCAAAAATTAGAAAACGCAAAAATTTCGAGCCAAACGGTATTTTTTTAGGCGCTTATTGCAAAATTATTCTACTCCAAGTAAAAAGAGAACTGTTAGAGACTCTGACTCACCATTGCTTACCCTCTAAAATTTTCATGGACTTATTCATGGACAGTTCTCATTTCGGTATCACGTCCAACCCTGTCTCTGCAGTAAAATAATGTTTCGAGCTCCCACTAAGCACCACTACTCGAAACGATGGGGCTCCACGGTGTCATAAGATAATTCGTCAAACAGTCTCATTGCGTGACAAATCTCAGAACGAGTTGCAAAAGCGCATAATGGTTGGGGCGAACATTCAGTCTCATTGCTCTGAACGAGTTCAACATTCAGTCACTCCAACTTCAACTTCAACTCTAAATCATCTCATTATTTTCCTTTTCAGCAGGATACATACACACATACATAGCCTTTATTTACGTGCCTAATCGTTCTAGTGCCTATTGGCACTAATTGGGACACCTTTAAAACTAAATTACCTCTATACGAAACTAATTAAATACTAGAAAACAGAAGAAAAAGCCGGAAATTAACACTATTCCAGCTAATTACTCTTTTACACTTTATAAATAAGTTCTAAATTTACTCTTTAACACTTTAAAACTAAGTTCTAAATTTAAAATATAAAAGAACTAAATGCATATATGAGCTCGGAGGCTAAAATAAATAAGTACGTAATAAGTATTCGTACGTCCAGTTAACCTAAGCATAAGCGGCATCCACTCCCACATCCTTCAAGAAATGATGTCACATCCTTTTTACGTTTCATTGTCCTAGAAGTTGCCAAAGTTCCAATATTTCTCTCCTCTTTGTTTAATTTTAACCACAATTGTGGTCCGAGAAATCTGAGAGAATGTCTTCCATAAGTAACAGTTTTAGACCGAGGTAGGACAAAATCTGCATTTCTTAGGTTATATCTCTTACGATTAGTATTCTCCTCATTGATATTAAAAATATGGCTGACATCAAGGGTCATGTCAGGGAAAAAAGCACAGAATCTAGCAATGGCTCTCAGTTTGAGTTTTGGCAAATTTATAACTGGCTATGAAAAAATTCTAGGAGACCTTTTTAGGGTAAAAATCCATGAAAAAATAGGCAATTATACCATTTTTTAGATGTTCGAAAATCCTAGGAGGCAGCAAGCAAGAAATTTTACAACAAATGTTCCGAAAATTCTAGATCTCAAATCGTCTTCCGAACAGATATTTTCCGAAAGTTGACGTTGGGTGCCCCTGAAAAGTTCATTCGCTCCAGAACAAATAAATGTCATTCGCGTTCGCTTATATAAAATATCAGGCGAAACAGTTTTCGGCCCGGTGGAATCTGCTATTATTTTTTCCCCTCTGTCTTCTTGTCATTTTCAGTATTTCACTCACGGCTGAATTATACTGATAGGATTTTTGAGGATTTCATGACTGTCCGTACTTGTATAAAGCATATGCCGTTGCTGAACACAAATAGTCCACTTTCGAGATCGCTATGACCGCTGCATTAGAGAAGTGAAGACGCATTTTTTACAGGCTTAGCCCCCATCTGAAGTATTATATTCACAAATTCCAACGAGAAAAAGATTAAAATTTCAAACACTTACTTGCTAGAATTTCTGAATATTTTACTATACGTCGAGGTTAACCCGGTATAAATGTGCCGTTAATGTTTGTATTCAGCGGTAATTTTTAATTCGAAACTGGACTATTATATAACTTTAAAAAATTGAGAATTTCCTTAAATCGATGATCGAACGAATAAAGATAACATAAGAATTTTAACGTTATAACTAGTAATAACGAAAGGTTACGGAGTGCGGGCCGGGCCTGAGTCCTCAAGGGAGGAACACAAGGAAGCAAATACACTGGGACAAGGGAGTAACCCCGCAGAACTGGAGGCCGCGTGGCGAAACACGCGTACCAAATTGCAGAAAAATGCAAAGGAAAACATTATAATTCAAAATGTACAGGGGTCAAGAAAATAACACCACTGTAAACAGTGTAAAATAAAACAGGCCGAACAGATTGACCAAATAAGGCAATTATCAATGCTGCGTTCTGATTGGTTGAGCTACTACTAGGCTATATGTTATACTCAGCCCACTAGCAGCGAAAAGCGCCGGCTTTTTGGCGGCAAAAAAGGATTAAAGTCTAGCTTTAACTAGCTAGAAAATTGTCTATTATCGATATTTTTGACCAACTAGTTGGATTTTACCAAAACAATTATTCCTCTCGCTCTCATGGTCTCTAAGTCAAGAGCCCATTCAGCCTTCGGCCTCATCTGCTATTGACTCAGAGGCAATTCGTGCTCGAGGAATAATTGTTAAGTATATGTCTTACAACCATAAGATATCTATACAAGTATTTTTTACAGGCTTTAACACCTATATACTTGGTTATTGAAATAAATAATCCATTCCTACCAAGTGCGCCTTACTCACTTACTGAATTACACAATCGGGTTGAACAAATCGTTCCCACAGAAATTGTGAGACTTTTTTCTTATGCAACCAGTTACGAAAACTTGATGCTGAGGCAATTGGCCTTACGTAGCTTAAGTAAGCAAGCAAAGTAAGTAAGTAAGTAAGCAAGTAAGCAAAGCAAGCAAAGTGAGTGAGTGAGTGAGTGAGTGAGTGAGTGAGTGAGCGAGCGAGCGAGCGAGCGAGCGAGCGAGCGAGTGAGTGAGTGAGTGAGTGAGTAAGTAAGTAAGTAAGTACAAAACGTAGACCCGATTCGCAACGTTTTCTCAAATATATATAACGAATCCGGCTATTAGGACAGTAAACTACATACAAAGTATTCGTAACAAGTTGGGGAACGAAGTCCCTATTATCGCGGTCTATCGTGACTCATTTCTCCAATAACTATACACTGTGTCACATGCGGTCGGACAAAAGTCCCCCAACCGAACCGGTGTAGTAAATTATTGCTAAAAAGCTGAAAAGAGGAGTGGCTAATAGGATATTTACAATTTTTAATTTACGACTAGTAAGCATGGGCGGGGATGACTTCAACTGGTCACTGTTCAATTTGTCCTTAGGAGTACAAATGAGATATTTCTTGCCCCTTGCAAGCAGAGTTCTGTACCAAAATGGACTTGCGTAACGTCTTAATGCTTGCCAGTGAATACAAAACAATTGTAACGGTTACGTCAAAAAAGTAACAAATAGCTCCTAATACATTTTCACCAGAGACGTCTTTTAATGGTTACGATTATTTTATGATTGTTTTTTTCTTTACGCTGTGACTGCAAGATGACGATTTAGAGGCTTTATAAAGTGGCAAAAAAACTTTCGACGGAAAGGTTAACTTTTAATATTCACGGGATGCAACAGCTCAAATTTACAAGGGCGAACGATTTGCTCAGAGGGCACAAAAGTTTAGCCTACTTAAAGATGAGATAACATATTCAGTAGTCCGTTCAAAGCCTATATAGTTCCATGGGTACCAAAATGCTCTTGCTGTCAGTCTGTATTAGCAAATTTAGGAATGACTCCAGAAACGCTGATAAATGCAGCTGTTTTAGGTTATATGTATCTTGTTTCACGTAGTCGTATTCTGTTGAACTCGCCTATTACAGCAAAGATACTAGCCCAGTTCAATCGGAATAGAGGGAGTGATGCACAGTTTAGGTAACAGGAAAGTAAACAATCTGTTGGTTAAAGAGGGCATGGATATGTACACAAATGATTAAATATCATCCATGAGATGCAGTCTCCTGAACTTGTCCAAGTTGTAGAATGCACCTCTAACAGTGCGACCGCCAAAGTACCTTCCATTGAGATCAACAAGAGCTGAAAAGGAAAGAAAACATTATGGATCTTGGTACTGAATCATTCATCCAACTCAGAGTTACAAGCCTTTGTAGGGAAAGTCTAGAATTTGATCATCGCGTTACTTGCCACCCAGTATTCCCTAGCAACTCTGACGGAAATATGTTTCTACAAATGCTATACCCTACATTGCAGGCATATTCCTGTGCTCGAGTAACTGCCAGTGTTGAACTCAAAATAGTCGCGGTGTTGCGCCGATTCAAAGAGGCCGTGCAAGGCTACCACCCTATTCCTTTTTTGTAAAAACAAAGATGACAACGCAGGTTATGGTGTCTCTGGAATGACGTCATTTGGCAAAAGCGCCACTCGCAACGTCAAAACTACCTAGTTTCGGTCTACGTGATAGTGGATCATGTTTTGACATCAGTAAACAATATAAATGATAGTTTGATACAGAACAGCAACGGTAAAGACTGTTAACAAATGTGTTACTGTGTAGAAAGTAGTCTTGAAAGGCGGTAAGTTTGAGCTATATTTAAATAACCTGTCTTTAGATTTCAGTAACCTTTAATAGCTGATTCAACTCGCTGAAACTCAACAAAAATGCGCACTGTCTCTTCCTCTTCCATGACACCTTGTGGGAACTGAATGAAGACAAACATAACAAATTGTTACAACGTAGACGCTTATTAAGGATACAGTATGTCTACACAAGTCCTTTGAAGTTTGAAACAAACACACACACATTCAAGGCTTTCATGTACACACGAACGATGTAACCGATTACAGTAATCTGTCCCGCGGGTTGGACAAGTTCACAAATGTGTGTTTCTACTAACGTACATGAACTTGTGCAAACACTGCCTAAGCGGGTCGCTCGGCCCGGACAGTGGTCAACGCATTGGATCCACAATCTGACCACTGGCTGGATTGTTTCTTGTTACTGGGATGCCCCTTTCTGGGTACGCCTAGTTATAATTTCGGCTTTCGGTCGTCTGTCCAGAAAAACGGTCATCATGCGGAGGAGGGTGGGAGGGGGGAAGACACGAGGGTCTGCTACCGAGAAACGATGTTCTCCAAAGTGGTTACATACGATTTTCCCTTGCACGAATATCCCCCCCAACCCCCACAGAAACCCAGCGTTGCGTTGTTCGAAGCGATTCGATCATAGGAGTCACTTAATAAGTTTTGTCACTGTTCGAGTTTAAGTGAATTGATTATGTTGGCGCTGGGAAACTCAGAGAAATGCTCTCGTTGCATACAAACCCATACGCCGTTCACGATAGGTTCACACTTAAAGATGACTGTGAGCGTTAGTTTTGGAACACTAGGGCCGTATCGTGAACTCAAAGAGAGAATTAACGATCGATGTAGTTCATCAGTAATTAATTAGCACAATTTATGAGCAAAGTATTTTACGAATTGATGACACTATGGCTGAAGACTTGATTGTAAGCTGTTTGTCACAGCCGATATTTCAATGTTATCTTTAGAACGGAACTCAGTTTCATCAGAGCGTTATTCTAGCAATTCTGCACAAGTCAGCAAATCTAGTTTTAACTCTTTCGTATCTTTCGAAAACTCCGCAGCTGAAATAAGCGTATTAATCAAATACAAATAGCCGGCAGTGACATGTGCACAAATATTGGAACACCTGACACGTACTTTCAATAGAACATGTGTATTTCTGTACGTGTCTCTTTGTTTAGCCTGCGTAGCAAGCGCTTCCGTTTGGTTTCGGAGCAAAGAAAGACCAAGGAACGGGATTCTCGGTTTTGGCCGCGCGAGAAATAAAACAAGAGCCAAAAAATGAAAGTACTTACGTCATTTTCGAGCGGTCTTTGACTATCGTTCCTCGTTCGTTGCTCCTAAACCGCACGGAAACGCTTACTACGCAGGCTGCTCTTTGTTAGACAAGAACCATTTTACATTTCAAAGAAACAACTGTTGTGCTCTGTTCATTCAGCTTGACTTACAACATGTGTTTTTCTAAAAGTACAGGAACCGAAATAGGAAGTATTGTATTTACACCATAAAGAAAAGTCTTTTAACCAATCGAGTTGTAACGCGTTGATCAGCTAGCAGGTGTATTTTTGAATAGGTTTTTGTGTTCCTTTGTGATAATCGAACACCTGTGTTTACTGTAGACTGTACAAAAATACTTAAACTGTTGTAAATCGATTACCTAGCCTGCGATTACCTGTACGACTACCTGCGATTACATGTGAAGTACTATTTACGAGGTTTACTCTACAATAAAGAAGTTGCAGCATTACAGAAAAGTCTCAGTTCTTGTCCAACCTTCGTACCTTGAGACCTGGAAATTAGACCCTGTACCTCTGGCAGTAGTAACGAGTGCCAGCAGCAAGCCAGTCGCTCTACGGAATTGCAGTTTCCCCCGACAATAACTTCCATTAGCAGATCACTATTTGCTAATTCTCGCGCCCTCGCGAAGAGCTTTAGTTCCGTTGTTTTCCTAGTTCGACTTTCCCGCCAATTTGGTTTGACAGTCTGAAAAGCCGCTTGACAAAGTGAAATTTCCTCCCGTTACATTGGTGGAGAACCCGGGCGTTTCTACCGTCTCTACTGCGACTGGGGGACAAAGTTGCAAGACAAGACTACCAGAACTTCAAGGTAATCCCTCGAAACGTAAAACTGCACACGTTTCTTTGTCCACCCCACATGTAACAGAATCTATTGTTGTCAAGCCTAAGTTATTCCATGGACGCGAAAATGAAACTGTTGATCGTTGGCTTCAGCGTTTCTCCTTATACCTTGCCAACGAAAAAATATCGTCCTCAAGTGACCAGGCAGCTGAAAAACTGGCTCTTCACCTTTCTGGGCCAGCAGAAACATATTATTATAATCTTCTTAGTTCAGTAAAAGCTTCGTACACCTTGTTGAGAGACGCATTGAAGGAACGTTTTTCTCCTGCTCATCCCCACCTAAGAAACCGACAAGAACTGTCAAAACGCCGCCAAGGTCCATCTGAATCTACTGAAACCTACTTAGCAGATTTGAATGAAAAATTTAACTGTCTAGATCTTCGTTTTGGGGATAAAAATTGTTACCTTATTCAAGAACTACATGCAGATATTCAAGCTGAAGTCTTAAAAAAGGAGCCTAAAACTTACAACGAGGCAGAAAAAACAGCAAGACTTATTTACTCCATTGAACAGTCCACCCTTCAGAGGAAAGAAGAAGATGCCTCACGTATTGTACAGGCTGCTAGTTGCATGCCTTCAATAACTAATGCTGGCGCAACTCCTGAAGTACAAGGTCCTCTTACTCGAATACAGCATCAACTTGACAACGTAATGTCAACTATGGCCAAAACGCACTCTAAGTCTGAAGCCGTTTTAAACGCATGCCAGTACTCGCCCCGGTACACCACTGCTATAGATAGTAAAATGACACGCCTTGAAGAGAGAATAAGCAACTCATGAAAATGATTGGAAACCGCCCTCAAGAAAGTACAGGGCCTAAAATTGCTGCTTACCAGCCTACCGCTATTTAATCGGCAGATGAAGAACTGAGGTACTTACAAGAACAAGTTCGTCAGTTAAGGGGGATAACTTCAGAAGAACATTTTAATGCTATTGCAGCCTATCAGCCCTCTACAAGTGAACGTAATCACTCTGGCAGTGAATCAGAAGAACTGCGGCGCCTTAGGGAAGAAAACAGATTTTTAAGGACCGCTCAGCGTGGTTCACAATAACCACAGCAGTTTCACAACCGCATGAATCACAGTGGACAAGATGCATCCCATTTACAAGAAAGAATGATGAATGAAATACGTCGAATGCAAGCTCGCATAGACGGGTTCATGAAAGCCCACACAAATGGAAACAATCAACAAGAACAACCGAGAGTACGGACCCAGGAGGGGCGCCCGGTTTGTGACATCTGTGGTCGAGTGGGTCACGTGAGACAGAACTGTTATGCTAGAGTTGATCAACGAAATCAATATCAAAACCCTCGAAACACTTGGCCACACACACAGACAGGCCCAGGAATTGCTGCTTTAGAAGCCGACGGTACCGCAGAACCAGTTGTTGCCCAGTTTAATCAGCCAAACCAGCAACAGAAAGAGAAAGAAGCACAGCCTGAAGGAGCTTATTATGCAAGAAGAAGCAATCCACCCATATTTGGGTCTACAGAAGTACCAAGAATAAGTACCATTCAAGCTGTCCAGCCAATTAACTACAATTCAATGAAGAAGAATGAGGCGCGTACACGCGATATACTTAAGACTGAATTTACTGAGCCAGCTCTAAACTCAAAACGTCAGAGCCACTCTGATCAGACTCATAGTACATTTCACCCTCAGCACAGTCAAGAGAATGCGACAGAACCAGAAACCTATACAAAAACCAAGCCTAATTCTTCAGAAAAGGTAATCGTGATGACCACCAGCCACAAAGAAAATCTGCAGGTGACAAATAAAACGCAACCTGTTGCCACACATAGCGACCCTGCCGAAGAAGACCAAGTGCGCATTATATCAAGTGATGAACGCTACACGATTGCAGGCGACTCTCTTTAGTCCGCGCCAGATCAGGAGCCAACTCACCAGCGACAGGAGTTATCGAGTTCATATCAAGAGACTAAAGTGCACTCAAAATCAAACAGAAATACACAAGAGTCTGCAAAGCATAAGAAGATCAAACCCACACAGCGTAGTTTTCCACCAAATACACCGCAACGGACCGCCTTTGTCATTGGTAAAATAGATGATTGTCCAACGAAACTACTCATTGACTCAGGAGCTTGTATTTCGGTGATAAACTACGAATTTGTCAAAGAAGTCCTTCATGATAACGCGCATCATGATGACGCCCATCCTGAAATAACCCCGACTACTTTCTCAGAAAAGCATACCGTCAGTGGTGAAAAACTTTAAACTATTGGCCACATTCAAGTCACCTTGTTACTAAATGGAAGACAATTTCCGTGTCAATTTCATGTCATTAACAATGTGGCTTATCACGCTGTTCTTGGAAGAGATTTTCTGCAGTCCAACGGTGCGATCATTAATTTTTCTGAATGAACATTAAAGTTAGACAAGACCTACCCACTTAAGATGACCCTAGGAGAAGAATATTCACGACCTCTAGCTCTCCTTACCGTCGTAAAGACCAGCCCTGCTGCTAGAAGCAATGACGTCGATAAATTCCTAAGAGGGCTTCCCCATTATTATAGTGCTTTCCTACACAGGTGCAAGAAGGCCCGTCATGGACATGTCAACTCCCAAATCAAGCAAGAATCAACAACCGCCTTACTCAAAGGATGAAAATAAGTCAGTGATCCGGTGTCTACCAAGTCAACTCTTTCAACAGAACATTTTGAAAGCAAGCCACCCAGTCGCGTCCAAGCAAATCACCACATCATTCTACAGTTTCTTCTTACTCCAGTCCGCCTGAAAGACTCCAGCATCATTTTCGCACAATCCCTCAAGCTACCAGAAAGAGCAACTGCAATTTACCCATTTCCATGAGAGCCAATACAACTATCAAGACGAAATACCCGCTAATTTGGTTTGACAGGCCGAAAAGCCGCTTGACGCAGTGAAATTTCCTATCCTTACAGTTGTACTGAAGCCAACAACTTAGCTGCCCATGAATATCAGACGAATCCTGATGTTAAGAAATGGACGTCCATGAGCGAGGGACGTGACAACTTTGCTATGTTAGTAGACTGGCTTTTCATTGAAATATTTCTTTCTATTTAATGCAACACACGCCACTTTGGAGGACTAAATTTCGGATACCGAGGATAAAGAAGACACGGACAAAAATAAGAACTTTGAGAACTTCGCACACAAGTTCTTAACTTCACCGGGACATCCGATCCTGAAACTTCACAAAGACCAACTTGACCTATTACTGACAAGGTTTGGTGACTGAGTGAAGTATACAAGTGTAGCCCAGAGGTTTTGCTCTTGTTTGTATCTGTATCTTGCTAAGCTTTTATCATTAAATTTGTACATGATCTTGTTATCACTTTTTATGCGTCTCCTCAATTCTGTTAGCAAGCGCGATATATTGATGTCAGCATGAGTGAGTTTCAAAAAACCTTTGAAAATTTTCAGCTCGCGTGATGTTTCTTGATGTTTCTTTTACCAGTTTATGGCGATGTAAACTGAGGCCACCGCAAAATGGGAACTTAAAAAAGCCTGTGATGGATTTATCTCGAAACACAATACACATGACTTACACGACCTTTATTTTCCTAAAGGTGTTTTGAATAGAAACGAGAGGGGAAAACAACATTAATATCAATAAGCCATATGGTTTTAATTAATATAAGGATCAGTTATTGTACATTGAGATAAATCGCTTGAAAAGAGAGAGTAAGAACGCTGCGCAAAGAGGGGTACAATCAGTCAGAAACAGACCTTCTCTGTAATACAATAGTTCTACCTTATATTAAGTACGCATCATCTGTCTACGCCGCGTTCGAGTTCGATCTTACACCTGTACAATGTTTCTTAGACCGCTGTTTTAAAAAGAAACATAAGTCTAAGCCAGTAAGTGTTTATGATTTCTTAGAGAGGCAAAAGAGGCAAGAGACCGTAAAATTTTCAGAAAAGTTTCTAATGCTAAAGGACATCCACTTTTATCTATTAAGCGTCGAGTTAAACCGTCCAGTTACAATCTTAGGAAAGAAACTTGTTTTAAACCAAAGATTAACACTATGCGTTTTAAAAACTCTTTTATTAATCGTTTAGTTTTTAATTATGAATTAGCCATGTAATATACTAGATTTTTTTTAATTTTTACTTTTTACCTCTTTTAAAATTTCTTACACTGACTGGTAACAAAAGATATGTATTTTTATCTTTTGATGAATATAGACTTTATTACTTTATTATTTAATGTGATCAGGAGTAAATAAGGGCACATAGTGCGTTTCGCTCAGTCGTCTTAATATCCAAGGACTGTGAATGGTGTTTCGATATTGTTTAGCTGGCACAAAAACTTCGGAGGAGTTATAAAGCGGCATAATTTTCTGGCATGAAGAAAAGTTAGTCACGGATGAGACAAAAGGCAAACTCGAGCGAATTTTTAACTCATATTAGTATCACAGTAAAAAAAAAATATGTTATCGACCGTTTCATCTATTTACATTGTTTAAAGCGAGGGCCGATGAAAGCAAAATAGGTCACAAAATGCAAATGATTTTATTCATTTAAGCTAGAGAAAAATACCAAGAGAAAAATGTTAATGCGTTTAACATGAAAACGGTTTTAATGTAGACTGTAGACCGCACATTAGGATCGTCTCAGTGTAATCAATGAGGCCCATGGATCGGGATCAATGCGCAGTTGGCTGTCTATTTTAGCAAACTTCTCGTTTTCATACGATTCAATATTTCTGTCTAGTGTTAGCAGAAGCATCCACGTGAATTCGCCTTTTGGCGACTCTAGTTAGTTCCATGTTTCACCTTCAGCTATACTGTATTTGGATTTTCTTCCTTGCTTACTTTCTTACTTATTTGAAAGTACGTACATAAGATAAAGCTTAACGAAAAAAACAACTATCGTATCATACTTACCTCGTATATGATCACTTTAACAACTTCACCGTATTTACCGGATTCATCAACAACTTCAGGCTGTAATTCATCATCTACTTCACCAGGACCTACCATATTCTACAAGACAAAAGTTTGCAAGAACAGCACTGCAACATTTTAAGAGTTGCCTGCCTCATTTGAAGAGAGACTACTCTTGCACTCGTCTTCCTTATTTCCAAACGACACAGTACTTTTTTTTATAAAATCCTTTCCTAAGAAAATACGTCGAACATTTACCTTAGGCCGACCCTGAGTTAAGAAAGAGTAGTAGTAGCTACTTTTAGAGATTACAAGTGCAAGAGAGAAAGTCACCTTCCTTCCTTGTGTACAATACTTTACATAACGAATGTTGCGAGCCTTGCTCCTATTGTCTTATTAACATTTTGATTCAAAAAATAACTTAAGCATTATTGTGTACTTATCTCTTTGTATTATTTATGATTGGACGACCATTAAAGGTACAGTAAGCATGAACTTCGCACAATAAACAGAAAAAAGATGTCCCCGACAAAAAAGACGTCATATTACACCCCTATCTCCCTATAACGGCTACTTCTCCACAACGGCGACTTTCTTCTGTCACCAAGGTGCCCGTTGCGGAGAGGTTCAACTTTAGAACAGGTTCAAATTTACCACAGTGATGGAAGGAGAATTTCCTAATTTGTTGGACAAACCAATAGCAAATCTTTGATGACGTGCGTTCATTGTTTACATTTTTGCTGACTGGAATACCAGGTAAGCCATTTAGGGCATCGCCGTATATATGTATACAAATTACGTTCAGGCGTTGAAAGCATTGATTAACTTGATAAATTTGTGTAATTTTCAAGAAATTCTTTGCAAACACTATCTAAGGAAATAGCAGTCATAAAGAAAACTAGGAAATTCCGAGTTGTTAAAATAGAATTTCTCCCGCGATATTTGGTAGATTAGGCTCATACTCTCAGAGACTGCTCATTTCAGTATACGCATTTAGAGACGTTATCTTTTTGATCAGACAGAGAACGATACCCGCGTGTTCATGAGAAAATAACTGATGAGAGCTGTACTTACTCTCAGGACAATGACTTTACTTGGATTTTTCATCACATTAGTCACTGGCTCTGCTTCTTTAACGGCAGCTTTTGATTCTGTAGATAAAAAATAAATAAATAAAAATATGAATCCAAACAGTCCAGTCTCAAAATGCACGAATGTACATGTAAAACCAAATCTATATTCTCATCAATGCATCAGTTACGACGACCGAGCTACTTATTAGAGATTGATAATCAAGTTTTCCCTCTACCTGTTATATTTAAGTGTTTACTATATCTACAAAGAAACAAGTACTTTCAAGACAGCTTAACCCATATAAATCATTTTGAACATAACTTCTTATCTGCTCATTTCTTAGGAAACTGTCAACTTGAACCTGATGTTTGCTGCTTGCTGTGCAAGTGATTCCGAATCTCTCGGATTATTATGATAGAAGTACACTAGTATTTTGATGTCTGAAGAGTCTTTTACTTAAGGTGGCCCGAACCTATTTATATGCGCGTTGGTTGTTTTTTAAATCGCGTTTTTCGACAGGAAAGTTTTGACAGATTCCTGTGATTTTTGGCACCTTCAATAAAGAATGGTCGAACTTTAAGAAACTGTTATATATTTAATTGTAGGTATAAAAACGTTTGATATCGGCACATGTTTAAAACCACATTTTTACAAAACATGTCAATAACTTCGAAACCCTAATAAGCCTCAGAGTTCTCTAGTTTTATATCTGCAAGTTTGAAGTCAATCGTGAGCGTAGAACTCGCTGCACAAATAGAATGTGGGCAAGATGAACGAACATCTATTTATCAAAGTTACTGTGTATTTGCCCTTATCTTTTCGAAAAAAAATCTCAACAAAGCAAGATATAGTATCTACGGAGATCTCCTACCAGTTTTAGCACCGAGAGCCACCAACTCCAGTACTTCAACCGATCCATTTTCAGCTGGAACGAAAACCCTTATATTAGGTAATTTATTCAAGCTTGTAAGATTTGCCATCACATTCGCACAGGCAGTTTGCCACTTGGGATAATGAAAAGAATAAGCCGATTGTCATATTTTCTTCATCTTTATCCCCAAGCGGCAAACTTCCCGTGCGAATGTGATGTCAAGTCTAAAAACCACGAATAAATTACCAAGTACAAGGGCTTTCAGTGCAGCTGAGAAATGGACGGTTAGAAGTACTGGAGTTGGCGGCTTCATTTGTCATAAAAATGGAAACCTGCGACGCTAAAAACTCTTAGGAGTTTTTCGTAGATACTATATTTTGCCTTTTAAAGATAGGTTTCGAAAAGAGAGGGACAAATACAAAGTAAGTTTGATGAATGAAAGTTTTTTAATCTTGTCCCGCATTCAGCATAAAGTTGTTCTTGTTGTATTGTGAACTGTATTCGCCGTAGGTTTCTGATCAGCCAGTTTCTTGCAACTGTAGCTTTGGGCAAGAATACTATTGCAGATAGGAGATAGTCTGTCGGCAGTTTTCCTCTATTTGTGCGTCAACTTTCAGAACATCCTCGGAGACCCAGGGGCAGATAGTGGGGGCGAGGGAAAGTCTAAACAGGCGGGAAGATATGGCACAAAAGAAAAGTAAAGAACGGCCAGAAGAGCCCCTGGGGATAATGTCTTACCGGACCAGTTCCAAACGGTCGTCGCCGTTCGGGCTTCTGATTGGTGCCAGAAAACTTGTGTTGTGTTTATATTGTCTAGAAAGGCTTGTTTTCTAACGAGAACGTCACCAAATACTTTTTCTGGGTGTATTTTGCATAAAACGAAACGTTCACAAAATTTCAAATTTTTGACCAAAACCATGGACTAACCCCTTTGAAAAAATGCCAATTTTGTGGGTTTTTGAAACGGATGTTTTTTTGTTCAGAAAGGCTTGTTTGCTATATAAAACGTCGAAAATCGTTTTTTCACGATCTATTTTCACGATCTATGACATGGGAATACACGGGGTTACAAGGGGTTACCGGGGGTTACAAGGGGTTACAAGGGGTTACAAGGGGTTACAGGGGGTTACAAGGGGTTACAAGGGGTGACAGGGGGTGACAAGGGGTTACAGGGGGTTGCAAAGGATTATAGAAACTTTTTTCTAACTAGAACGTTCCCAGATACTTTTTCTTGGTCTATTTTGCATAAAAATCAAAGTTGAAGAAATCTCTAATTTTTGATCAAAACGATGGACTAACCCTTTTGGAAAAATTGTAATTTTTGCGTTTTTCGTAAACAGTTGTTTTTATAGTCTTTAAAGGCTTCTTTTTTTATCTAGAACGTCAGCAAACACTCTTTCTTGATCTATTTCTGATAATTACAAAAGATGAAAAAAAGTTCAACTTTTTGACCGATATCATGGAATGTCCCCTTTGCAAAAATGCCAATGTTGCCTTCTTTTTAAATCCATATTTATATTGTCTAGAAAGGCTTGTTTTCTAACGAGAACGTCACCAAATACTTTTTCTGGGTGTATTTTGGATAAAACGAAACGTTAACAAAATTTCAAATTTTTGACCAAAACCATGGACTAACCCCTTTGCAAAAATGCCAATTTTGTGGGTTTTTGAAACCTATTTTTTTTTCGCTCACACAGGCTTGTTTGCTATATAAAACGTCGAAAATCGTTTTTTCACGATCTATTTTCACGATCTATGACATGGGAATACAGGGGTTACAAGGGGTTACAGGGGTTACAAGGGGGTACAAAAGGGGTTACAAGGGGTTACAAAGGGGTTACAAGGGGTTACAAGGGGGTTACAAGGGGTGACAGGGGTGACAAGGGGTTACAGGGGGTTGCAAAGGATTATAGAAACCTTTTTTTTAACTAGAAGGTTCCCAGATACTTTTTCTTGGTCTATTTTGCATAAAAATCAAAGTTGAAGAAATCTCTAATTTTTGATCAAAACGATGGACTAACCCCTTTGGAAAAATTCTAATTTTCGGTTTTTCGTAAACAGTTGTTTTTATAGTCTTTAAAGGCTTCTTTTTTATCTAGAACGTCAGCAAACACTTTTTCTCGATCTATTTTTGATAAATACAAAAGATGAAAAAACTTCAACTTTTTGACCAAAATCATGGACTATCCCCTTTGCAAAAATGCCAATTTTGCCTTCTTTTTAAATCCATGTTTATATTGTCTAGAAAGGCTTGTTTTCTAACGAGAACGTCACCAAATACTTTTTCTGGGTGTATTTTGCATAAAACGAAACGTTCACAAAATTTCAAATTTTTGACCAAAACCATGGACTAACCCCTTTGCAAAAATGCCAATTTTGTGGGTTTTTGAAACCGATGTTTTTTTTGTTCAGAAAGGCTTGTTTGCTATATAAAACGTCGAAAATCGTTTTTTCACGATCTATTTTCACGATCTATGACATGGGAATACAAGTGGTTACAAGGGGTTAAAAGGGGTGACAGAGGGTGACAAGGGGTTACAAGGGGTTACAAGGGGTTACAACAAGGGGTTACAAGGGGTTACAAGGGGTTACAAGGGGTGACAAGGGGTGACAAGGGGTTACAGGGTTGCAAAGGATTATAGAAACCTTTTTTTTAACTAGAAGGTTCCCAGATACTTTTTCTTGGTCTATTTTGCATAAAAATCAAAGTTGAAGAAATCTCTAATTTTTGATCAAAACGATGGACTAACCCCTTTGGAAAAATTCTAATTTTCGGTTTTTCGTAAACAGTTGTTTTTATAGTCTTTAAAGGCTTCTTTTTTTATCTAGAACGTCAGCAAACACTTTTTCTCGATCTATTTTTGATAAATACAAAAGATGAAAAAAAACTTCAACTTTTTGACCAAAATCATGGACTATCCCCTTTGCAAAAAAATGCCAATTTTGCCTTCTTTTTAAATCCATGTTTATATTGTCTAGAAAGGCTTGTTTTCTAACGAGAACGTCACCAAATACTTTTTCTGGGTGTATTTTGCATAAAACGAAACGTTCACAAAATTTCAAATTTTTGACCAAAACCATGGACTAACCCCTTTGCAAAAATGCCAATTTTCTGGGTTTTTGAAACCGATGTTTTTTTTTGTTCAGAAAG